TAGGAGACTTGGAAAAAGGAGATTTGTTCAAGGTCAAGATCTTTGACATGGCCTGTCTCTTTAGGTGCCTGCCACAATTGTTATGAACCTGAAGAGTGACAATAATAGCAGCTAATTATAGCAGTTCATTTTACATTAAGGACAATAAAAGATAAAATCCCTATATTATTGATTGCAAAATAATGCAAAAGTATAGAACAATTTAAGTCATAAAGACTTTAGAATATTTTGTCCTTATATTCTCTTTGGGCCATCATTTTTGACACTTATGTAATCCTTGCTTTTTTAAAAAAGGTAATTTTGTATATTATTGTTTATCAATGTTGGAAACCATGAAAATAATATAATGAAAAATTGAAAAATTTCCCATATTATTGTGCCTCAAAACAACTGCCTATTACCAACAGAGATGTATTTTTTGAAGATGCTAGTACCCATTTCAGTAATAATAGCTGGTATTTCCCAAGTGCTGATGATGCATATCTCACATAGTCTCTCAGTAACTCTCTAGGTGAAGTAATAATCTCTCTTGCTTAAAAAGATATGGAAACTGAGGCACAGAATCCTTAATCGATCACTTTCCAAAGGTAAGCTAGCCAGTGGGTAAAGACCTGGGAGAAAAATCCAGGCTGGTCTACTGTATAAAACACATTCTTTTAAAAAAATCGTTGCAAAATACGCATAACCTAAAACTTATCATTTTTAAACCTTTAAAAATGTGTAATTCAGTGTCTTTAATACATTCACAAGTTGTGCAACCATCAATACCATCTAGTTCTAGCACATTTTATCACCCTTGTATCCGTTTCTACTCGTTCCCATTTTAGCAATCATAATATCCCTTCTGTCTATGAATTTACCCATTCTAGATATTTCATAGAAATTGAATTAAATACTAGACGGTCTTTGTATCTGACTTTTTTCACTTAACCCAATATTTCAAGGTTCATCAGTGTTGCAGCATATATCAGTTCTTCATTCCTTTTAATGGATGAGTAATATTCCATTGTTATTTATCTATACTACAGACATATACCACATATTACACCGCATTTATTCACTTACAGACATTTGGTTATTTTCACCTTCTGACTATTCTGAGGAGGAATGCTAGGAATTTGAACATTTAATTCATTTGGGACTATACTTATGCGTGGAATTTCTGGGGCATATGTGTAATTTTATGTTTTAATCACCAACTATTTCTCACAGTGACTAAATCATCTCACATTCCCATGGGCAATATTCAAATGTTTCAGTTTCTCTACATGTTTGCCAACACTTATTTTTCATTTTTAAAAGTTATAGCCATCTTAGCGAGTATGAAGTGGTATGTGGTTATATTGTTTTAATTTGCATTTCCCTAATGATAAAATAATGTTCAGCATCTTTTAATGTTTGTCAGCAATTTGTGTACTTCCTTTAGATTAATATCTACTCAAATCCATTGCTCAGTTTTTGCTTTTTGAAATCTTTTAATGTTGATTTCTAAGAATTTTTTTAAAAGTGTATTCTGTATACAAGACAGGTCAGATATGTGATTTGTCTATGTTTTCTCTCATTATGTGGGATGTCTTTTTACTTTCCCAATAGTATCTTTTAAAAAAAAATCTTTATTTATTTTTATGTGGTGCTGAGGATCGAAACCAGTGCCCCACACATGTGAGGTGGGCGCTCGACCACTAAGCTACAGCCTCAGCCCCCAATAGTATCCTTTGATGCACAAAAAATTCAAATTTGGCAATTCCTATTCATCTATTTTTTTTTTTTGGTTACTCATGCTTTTGGTGTCATTTCTGAGAATCAGTTGCTGAAACTAAGGTCATGAATATTTACCTCTTTATTTTCTCCTCTGAGTTTTAGCTCCTAAATTTAGGTCTTTGATCCATTTTAAAATTACTTTTGCATATAGTATGAGCTGGGTGTTCAACTTCATTTTTTTTCTCATTTTGATATCTCATTTTCCAGACCATTTGTCAAAAAGACTATTCTTTCCTCCACTGAGTGGTCTTGGCACCCCTGTGCCTAATCATAGATATATAGGTTTATTCCTGGATTCTCAATTGCATTACACTTAATTGTGTGTTTTTCCTTATGCTAGTATGACCCTATTTTGATTGCCATAACTTTTCTGTAAGTTTTGGAATTGTAAAATGGGAGACTTCCAGATTTTATTTTTTCAAGATTACTTTGGCTATTTGGGGCCATTTTTGTTTCCATATGAATTTTAGAATCAAGTTTTTCATTGTTAAATAAAAGACCATTGGATTTTGATAGAAATTGCATTGAATTTTTAGATAGCTTTGCCTCCGTAACACTATTAAGCTTTCTACCTAATGCTATGGGATGTCTTTTTTTTTTTTTTTGGTTGTTTATTGTTTGTATGTGCCAGGGATTGAACCCAATAGTGCTTAATCACTGAGCCACATCCCCAGTCGACATTTTTTTTTTTTTTTAAATTTCCATACAGGGTCTTTCTAAGTTGCTTAGGACTTGGCTAAGTTGCCCACATTGACTTTGAATTCACAATGCTCTTGCCTCAGCCTCCCGAGTTGCTGGGATTATAGGCATGCACCACCGCGCACAGTTTGGGATGTGTTTCCACTGTAGGTATTTAATTTCTTTCAGCAATATTGTAGTTTTTCACATACAAGTCTACAAGTATTTTATTCTTTTTTGCTGCTATTAAGTATGGAACTGTTTCATTAATTGCCTCTTAGGAAATTGCTAATATATAGAAAAATCACTGACATTTTTGTTGCTGATTTTGTGTCCTACAATGCTGTTGGATTCCTTTAGTAGTTCTAATAGTTTTTTTTTTTGTGTGTGTGTGTGTGTGTGTACTCTTTGTACTCTTTACGACATTCTCTACATAACACCCTGTCATCTACAAATAGAGATTGTTTTGTTTCTTCTTTCCAACTTAGATACCTTTTTTCTTGCCCAATTTCCCTGGTTACTCTGTTGAAGAGAAGGAGTAAAAGTGGGCACCCTTCTTTTGTTCCTGATCTTAGTGGGAAAGCTTAAGTTTTTCGAAGAGTATGAAATTCATTTTTTTAAACTCCCTTTATTATGTTTAAGAAGTTTCCTTACATTTCTACTTTTCTGTGTGGTTTTTATTATGATAGCATGCTGAATATTGACAAAGAGTTTTCTCCATAAACTGCGATGATTGTATGCTCTTCCCCTCTCCTACAATCTGCATTCTTAGCCAATAGGCCCAATTGCCTCTTTCTTTATGAGTTATTTAATTTTATATCCTGCATTTAGCACATATAACACAAAATTATTTTAATCGAGAACATGATTTCAAGTGCCTTTGTTATTTTCCCATAATAATTTATTGAAAAACATTATTGTTTCAATAACTTCAGTATTTTTTCTGTTAACTACATTTCTTTTTTTTAACTTTCCTGTTATTTTTTAAATTGATTTTTTAAAAAATAAATGACAGCAGAATGCATTACAATTCTTTTTTTAAAATTTGTTTTAATTAGTTACACATGACAGTACAATGATCTTGACATATATACATTTGAATCAGATGGGATATAATTTTTCATTTTTCTGAGTGTACAGGTTGCAGAATTACATTGGTCATGCAGTCACGTATATACACACAGCAATAATAATGTCTATTTTATTCTGCTGTCCTTCCATTCCCCACTTCCCCTCCCCTCCCCTCCCCTCCCATCACTTCTCTCTACCCAATCTAATGTGACACACTTCTTTTTTTTCCCCTCACATTGTCATACCTGAATTCTGTATAACAAAGGGGGTCTCCTTCTCTCTTCCATGCAATTCCCCTTCTCCCTCCCTTTCCCTCCCACTTCTCTTCCCTATCTACAGGTAATTTTCTTCTCATGCTTTTCCTCCCTACCCTATTTTGAATCACCTCCCTTATATCAGAGAAGACATTCAGCATTTGTTTTTTTGGGATTGGCTAACTTCGCTTGGCATAATCTGCTCTAATGCCATCCATTTCCCTGCAAATGCCATGATCTTTTTATTTTTTAGTGCTGAGTAATATTCCATTGTGGCATTACAATTCTTATTACCCATATATAGCACAATTGGAATCAAGTGCTCTACAACCCAAGGAGTTAAGTAAGTTATCTTTCTGTTCATCTCTGAAGCTCTTCCATCTTCTGCTAGTAGCAACTTATCTCCTTATTCCCTCTCAACATTTATTCTTGTTCCTCACTCTACTCACTTTCCAGAAACATTCTAATTCTGGCTCTGTGTTCATTTAGAGTTCTGAATGAATGACTAGGCCAGTAGAGTTAATGTAGAAAACATAATAAACTTAGTGGTAAAACAACTAAAAAACCACAAACTTGTTCTATTACTACCTGTATTTATTTAGCTTGGAAAGAAAAGGAATCTGCAATTTGGTCAGTTTTTTTTTTTCAGTTTTCCTCTTTTCTTTATCAATATTGATTTGTACATTCCTGCATGAATTTTCAGATAATCTGGAAATATAGGAACACTGTAAAGAATTGGACTTATACATAAAACGAATGTAGTAACATTTAGTTTTAGAAAACACCAAGGAAAACATTTCTATTAATTCTCACATTGATTGAATTTTTTTAAAAAATCACTTTATGCTTGAAGTAAAACTTTGCTCATAGACATCATGGAATCCCTTTCATTTAAACACATATGTTTACACATTTTGAAGCCATCAGATATATTTGATTCAAAGACTATTAAAATTCTGAAAGCAAGAATACTGAAAAAAGCCAAAGGCCTGAATAGATATAAAAGAAGCTGCTCCTTGCAAGACTCAAAGTTGCCCTGGTTAAGTTTTCCTGAGCCGCAGAACGAGAACTACAATTCCCACAATGCTAAACGCGAAAACGCAAGCCTCGGCTTCACGGCTTGCCGCCTGAGTCCCGCCTCCTCGCCCCAGTGATTGGACTTCCCACTTCCGCGCCTCTGGACTTCCCTTCTCCCATTGGTGGAGGCTTCAGAGGGGTCAACAACGGAGTTCACGCTCGGCCGGCTTGGTTCTGTCAAGCCCACCGGCCTTCCCCTCCGTGCCAAGATGGCGGCAGAAGCAGCTGGTGGGAAGTACAGAAGCACAGTCAGCAAAAGCAAAGACCCTTCGGGGCTGCTCATCTCTGTGATCAGGTGAGGGAGGCAGGAGGCAGCGTCAGGGGACGGGGGCAGAGGCTCGATCTCCGCTGTGGAAGGGAGAAGGGTTCGCCGGGTTCCACCCCGCAGACCTTTTCCTTTCCTCCCTGCCTCCCCAGCTCCTCCCAGGGCCCCAGCAGCTCCACGCTTTTCAGCACCAGCAGTACCCCACTTTTCTCCGGGGCTGGGCCTAGAGGGAGGAGCGCCGCTTCACAGTCAGTAGGGGCTGAGCCCTCTAGGTTCCCTGGGCCCTAAGAGCAAGCAGTTTGGGTTGGTGGAGAGAGCCAGGTGAAGGTGTGTTCATCCATTGATCAAACCTTGATTTAGCAGAGCTCTCAGAGGAAGACGTCTTGTTCCCTGTACTCTGGGTGCAAGGCCGGAGAATACTGTCACGAGTTGCAGATTGTCCAACTCTGATCACTTTCCACCACTTGTGAACGGCCTCAGCCCCACGTACAGTGGGCTGGTAGAAGGGCTGGGGTTTGAAGGCACACATCTGTTTTCGATTTGTGTTGTGCCCGTTTCTGCCTTTCTACCCGTCTATTCCTTAACAACAAAACGAAGCAAGTTTCAAATTCTCCTTCAGGCATCCTCTTCCCTGCCACGTTAGGATGAGAGTGGGAAAGGGAATCTTTTAGGAACCGGTGTTTTAAAAAAGTGAAATAAATTGAGTACCGTTAAGGATGATACAGGCAATAACTATAAACAACCCAAATTAAAAGTAACGTGATGTGTTTTTACATTGTTGGCACTCGAATGTCAAGTCAGTCATTTTCCATGAAACGAACACCGCTTTCTGCTCCTTTCCCCGACCTATGCTAAACTTTTGTTTGAGTTCTTGGAGGGCTCCTGGAATGTCCTGATCATCTTTTTATTTAAAAAACATTTCATCAGTGCACTATAATTATACATATCAGTGAGATTTGTTGTTACATATTCTTATATGCACACCGCATAATTTGGTCTGATCATCTTTTTAAAACTCAGGACTCATCAGTATCTGATAAGTACTAAGCAATTTGAATGAATATATCAAACTTTGATTATTTTATTTTTTGCAATATGGCGTATTGAACCCAGGGATGCTTTACCACTAAACTATATCTCTGCTTCCCCCTAACCTAACTTTAAAAATATTTTGTTTTGAGACAGTCTAAGTTCCCCAGACCTGTGATCCACCTGCCTCATCCTCCACAGTTTCTGGGATTACAGGCATGTGCCACCATGCCTGGCATTTATTAAAGGACAGTTTACCACTCAAGGACTAATAAAGATCCATTCTCTGGATCTTACTTAGGAGACTCAAGTTTAAGATTACGTCTTGTTAAATCATTATCAATTTCTTTTACAATTAGGAGAATGATTATGTATGGAAATACTTAATATACTTGGTAGGCCTAACAGGAAATGCTTTTTTTAAAAAAATTTTTTAACATTTTTATCTTATTTATTTATTGTTTACTTTGTCATATGTAAAGCATTATTTGTTAAATGTTTAATATTTCATGGTAGGTCTATGTTCACAATATATTTATATAATATAATTATCATCATACTATAATCTCAGACTGATACAATTACTATCTTTAATTATCTTTAACTTGATATAATTATTATAAATAGTTGTGCTTATCAGAGTCAATAAATTCACATTTGCATTTGGAAATGCTATTTTGGATTCTAAAGACCCACATTCTTGCTTTAGCTATACATGTGGTGTATGGATATGTCTCATTATACTAAAATTCCAACTGGAATCTTCATAATTCTCTCTGAAATTACAATAAGTGAATTTGGATTTTTTAAACATTTGTTCATTTTTTCTGCTTTACAGTCAACATTCACTTATAAGTAGTTAATGCTAGTTTTCAATATGCTGCCTGCCATTTATTATATACTTAGTCAAATTTTGTTGAGCAGATCCCCTGAGTTTTGCAAAGACAAATCAGCTTTATTACCTTTGAGGGTCTATCTGGGGGATAAATGTTTGTAAGAACTATGACATAAGACAGAAGAGAGAGGTGAAGTAATTTGGACATGCAGGAATGTTATAGAAGGAGTAGTTACTTCCAAAGAAAGTGGGGTAGGGCCCAGGGAAGGTATCAGCTATATACAAAGGTACTAATCTCATTTATATATTTTTGATCCTGGAGATTGTTCCTTTTTTTAATGCTTTATGTTGGTTTTCTTCAGTGCCAGTTAAATATACCCTCCATGTCTGATATTTGAAAACTGCATGGAAATCAAAAGCTCTTTTTTCTTTTTTTTTTTTTTTTTACTGATACTGACTCAGAAATATACATTGCCTTTGGTGGACTCAATGTGGACTCTATGCCAGATGGGTTGCAATATGATTTTGTGATTATTTATCCATCTCTTATCTTATTGGACTTGTTACCTTTATTACTGTGATTTGGGCCTGGGCATTTTTTGCTTTTAAGTCTGTTGTGTATTAACTGCTTTTCATTCTTCTTCTTTACTCTTGACCACTTCAAAGCTCCTGAATAACACTATTATGTCCATTGCAAGTATGGTTGGTTGGTGCCTGATCTAGCATTCTGGGCAAGTTTAGTAAAGATTGGGGTTCAGAGTTACATGTGAACGGATGCCTGGATGTTGTTAGTGCTGAAGTGTTTGTGTTTGTGTTTCAACATTTCTTTGAGTCACAGGAAACTTCAGGATTGAAGAAAGGATGTTGCTCTCCTTGTTGTTTCCTTTCTGATGTATTTTTGAAATTGGTTAAATTCCATTAATAGTGGCAGTGAATGAGAGGAGGATGACAGGATTCCTTCAGTGTTAAGGATTTGGGGTAGGGGAAAGGTCACATAGGGAAGAATGGAAGGGGGAATATAATTTTTGTTAGTAAATTGTGTTGTAGCTCTAAAGTAGCTACTTTGTATTTTTGTTCATTTTGTATCCTATTTGTTATCCTTCTTGCAACATTGTATTCATGGTTCTTAATTTCTCAAACAAAAACTCCTCCTATCTAACTTTTTTCAAATTCTTCTCAAAGACTGTAGCTGTAGTGGTTGCTTTGGCAACAAACCTCCAAAGAAAAACCCATTTTAGGCTTGTGTTTATGAAGAGGAACCTAGTACATGCTAGTTCTCTTTCATGTTTCCCGATCATTTTTTCATGAAATAAATTACTTGTTAGTGATATAGTCCACTCACTTTTGAAAAATTTGATCAGATTAGCTTTATCTTTTTATGTCACCGAGCAATTATTTTTCCTTTTTAAATGTTCATAATTCTTCTTTAGTCCTTTTGCTCAGGTATGTAAAAAATGTCATTTACTTGCAATACTTTATATTGTTTTTAAAATGCTATCCCTAACAGTTGGAATAGCATTTATTATTGCAGTCATTTTTTAATATTGGATTTTTAAAAAAAATAGATAAGGTTTATGTAAGGACAGAGTAGGTATAGATAAGGGGAATATCTAAGTCTCATCACTATTTCCTGATGTGGTACTAAATAATTAAATGATGACTCTATTTTGCTAGTATGACAGTCTACCACTTTAAAGCATTTAAAGGCCAAAATAATTTAAAATGTAGTATAATTATAACAGAAGTATTATATTTGATAGATGTATGTACTTTTAATTGCCCAAGACTGATAAATAAAAATTTCTGATCATTCAAAAAATATTGGATAAAAATATTTCAGGACAGTCAGATGTCTGAAATAGTAGACTTCCAGGGCTTTACAAAAGAGGTTCTCAGACTATGGGGTGAGGGGGTGGGGGGTTTGGTGAGGAGAAAGATGGTGCTTGAGATTTATTCCATTGGAGACTGCTGCTAACTGTGTACATTTGGGGTTTAAGTCTTGCTACTGGCTCTTTAAAATGGAACTAATTGGGTGGACAGAGTCCTGATTACCTGCTGATGTACAGTTTGGACAGTTTGCATGTGTGTGTGCAGGCGCACACATGCAAATCCCCCCACCCCACACACACCTTTTTGTTTGGTGTGGAGTTGGAAGAGGCAGCCTTTCTACTTCGGGAAGAAAGCAAGATGGCATTTTGAAGATGTTGTCTTATTTTTGTGAGTTCCTGTCAGATTTTTAATTGGGAAATGTGTCTACCACTTACTGTTAGGTGATTTGCTTTCCAATTAAATGTAGCCTCTCCTTTCTTTGTAAGTTGGCCTGTAATAGCCAGTTTAATTGGGGAAACAAAATTTAGTTGTGACTTAAGGAGACCTTATGGAAACCTCTGGGCAGAGCTTTTGTAGACAGACTCTGTAGATGTCAAGGAGAATTGAACGCAGCTAAAGGCTCACATTTCCATCAACTTTTATGCCTTCACAGATGTTGAAATTTCAAAAACTTTCAATATCCTTTATTGTAGACACCAGTTAAATTTGCTTCCTCCTCAGAGTGTATTTTGGTCAGCCCACAGTTAATTCAAAGTCATCTTTGTTGAAGGGGCCCAGGCTTTGATCAGGGCTTTGAACAAATAGCTTTGAGGTTCACAACAGAGTTTGTGGTGGGAAAGGAATGTGGTCCCTGATCCCAGGTGAGTCCTGGAAGTTGTGGTAGGTGTTGTCTCCAGCACCATCTCTTCATTTGAGCCCATGTCATCATGACCTCTAGGCTTCTGCTTCTTTTTGTATCCTTGCAGAGTCTTGGCACTAGTGATACAGTGTTGCTTGCAAGTTATTGTTAGAATTCGTGGAGACCAAACACTTCACAAACTTTCAGGAAGTTCTGGGACACTTAACAACAGATGTGGTTGAACATGCAGATCTTGGGGATCCATGTCTTACTTTCTAACCCCACATGTGATTGTTAACACTGGAATTTCTTAAAGTCTTTGAGTTATTTTAGTTTTAATATTTGGTGATATGGTCAAGTTTTTTTTTCAAACTATTCTAGTTAGTTGAAGACATACGTAAGTGGTTTTGTTTGGTTAGGTAGATATTTACTGTATTACCCATGTAACCAAGTAAAATCCTTGTGCTTAGTTCTCATTTGTAAAATGGAATGATAATT